AACATTAGTTCTTGAATAAAATTGAATAAATTATAATAATTTCCTTATTCAGAGAGAACAAGTTATGAAAATGTCACTGTCAATGATCAAGAAATCTGCAAAATTTGGCCACTAGGGGCGCTGTAATCGCTAGACCCAAAACTTCTATCAAATACATACCTAATAAATTTTATTAATTTTTAAGCTTTTTATTAAACAAATTACAAATGCAGCGTTATGCAGTTCCTGGTTGTTGTGAGAACGGAAGGCACAAATTTCCAAAAGACCGGAAAGCTAATGACAAATCGAGGGTATGTCACAAACATTTTAATAAAGAATCTGATTACCTGGGCGATAGTTCCATTACGGGTTAGTATTTAAAAATGTATTATAGACAATAACTGCATGCTTACGACTAAAATATAATTTTATATGCTGTTTACATCATGGTATGTATCTAGGACAGGTAATTGCATCTGGATGTCTTAATTTTGATAAAACCGCAATTTTAATTTCGGTGCAGTTTTTGCATCGAAATTAAAATTGCGGTCATATGCCTCAAGTCCAATGTTGCCAGATAAACAGATTTATCAGTATCCATACAGACTTTTAATATGCCATACCATTTATGCGGAGCTATGGCTAGTACACCGAAGAAACCACGGATACTGCAGCACTTTAATCGGGAATAGATGGAAGAATCGGGCTTAAGCACTTGGCTTGTACCTAGCAAGAAAGGAGATTATATAATACGCGTTTTGCAAATAGGTAATCACTAATTTTATTTTATTGAAGTTATACTTCTTTAGGCGTGTTATGAAAAAATGATGAGAGTGAAATTTTAAGATGCGCGCGCATCACTGTAACACAAAATTTTAACAGCATGAAGTTGGTCGCTTTAGCGACCAACTTCATGCGTTACTTTTGTGTTTACCGCACATTAAGAAAATCTACCAACAATATAGAAATATAATCTCTATTTAGTGGGTGCTAACGACTGCATTGTGACGGCCTATCAAAAGTATTTATTAATCTGGAACAACGGAACCAAAGCGCGATTCAGGAGACTACAGCGCCATCTCTTGACCATTGGTGTAGTAGAACAAAAAACCACATCTTTATTTTTTGTAATAAAGTAACAGTTATAGGTATTCATATTTATAATATTTATCCACATGTTTCTAGTTTGTATATTCGGAATACGTGTTTGAGTTTCATACAAGTGCAAATCACATATGTTCTAATAAATTATATTCAGTAGAATATTTTAATTATTTATTTATCTTTTCAAATTAAAACTGAACTTTATTGACTGTGTCCTTTTCCAGACTTTTTATTAATTTATTGTAATTAATTATTTGCATGCAATTAAAAACTAATTTTAAACGATGCCAAAGAAGGATAACTTCTCACGCGCCTACATAAGTACACGCACTCATTTTTTTCTTTAAATCAAATGAAATTTTACAAATTGTCGCATAATACAGATAATTCATACAGAATACAATCGACACATAGGGATTAATACAAATTTACAAAATACAGATTTCATACACATTTTTACGGTCCTTTATACTGATCTTGGCTCTCCAGATATGGCAACGCCGCTCAAGTCTGTAAAAACCCCAATGTTATACTTCCCATTTTAGCCAGAGGTAACCTAACTCTTTGAGATATCTGACTGATGCAAAAATAAGATAGCTTTGACTAATGAGCCCGCTAAAAATTACTGAGATCCTTGAACTATTAAAATAATCATGGGAAAGGCATCTATGTACCGAGAATGAGCATTCTAACATAATAACAGAAACAGTACCTTTCTAAAAGATCAGCTATTCTGCCTTGCACAGATGCTCCTCTCCGTTTCAACTCTGTTTTCAGCAGTAATAAAAAAACTAATTTAATATTTTTACAAGAAAAAAACGCGTTAAACATTTGACAACTGCAATATTTGGCTGTGGTTTGAGTCAAGCGTTTGCAGCTCCATCTATGTTGAGCTTTGTGTATACTTCTCTTGGACAAGAAATCTGCAAAATTTGGCCCTGGCCAAATGTAATCGCTTGACCCAAAACTTCTATCAAATACATACCTATTAGCTTATATTCATTTTTAAGCTTTAACGAATTACAAATGCCGCGTTGTGCAGTTCCTTGTTGTTGTGAAAATACTGCATACTTACCGACTAAAATATAATATTTTAACAACAAAAAACCCGTTTAAAATTTGACAGCTGCAATATTCGGCTGTGGTTAGGATCAAGCGCTTGCAGCTCTATCTATGTCGAGCTTTGCGTATAACTTCTAGGGGTGTCCACTCTGAAAAAACATCGATGTATTTTTTGATTCGATACATCGCAACTATACATCGATGTCATTCGATGTATCGGATGAAAACATCGATGTATTTTAAACATCGAGTACTTTTACTGAAATTTTATTACAAAACTCAACTTATGTGTAAAGTGACCCATCACAAAAGAGGCCATCTTTTCATAGTAAAAAAAAATACTATTGAAGTTTATGAAAAGACCTTAATCCATAATTTTATTATAGTTTATATATTAATCTTTCATAAAATAAAATAATTAACTCCTTTCATAATGAGTAGGTAAAAGTAAATACAAGTAAAAGCCATGTGTCAGAAAAATCTGTATTATATTTTTTTACAAAAGATCAAATTAAAAAAACACTAAATAACCCGCAAAATTTTTGCTAAGTCTGTCAAAAGAATATTAGAAATATACTTCAATCTTAGTTTCGTTCGCAAAACTAAAGAAAGAAAGAAAGAAAGAAAAAGTATTTAACATCTAAAGGTTATTAAATGTTCATAAACATAGAAACTCGTAGTTATTTTTTATTGTCACTGCACTGACTCTTGCGCATTGCTGCCAACATCGGGTCCATATCAGAGAATCCGGAATAATGATGCTTTCATAATAGTAATAAGTAAAATAATAGTGGTCAAACTTAAGTTTTTTTACTGAGATCAAATCAAAGAGGATATTATCACTACGTGGTCAAACTCTATTACCAATAGGGAAGATGCATATATAATATTTATGAAAATTTTATGATTAAAATGTTAAAAAAATATAAAAGAAATGCCACTGCAACGTTTTTATTTTACATAATGTTGTTTTTTAACAATTATTACGAATTAAAAATACTTGAAACGGAACGTATTTTAAAACACCAATCAGCGTTTAGTGACGTCACTCCTGTAATGACAACTTCTTTGAGGTTATGGTTGTTAAAGTAAATATTATTTTATGGGAATATTTATTGCGTTTTTTTACATTTAATAAAAATGGAAGTTGCGTTTATCAAAGCAGACTCCAGGAATTTACCAAGAGTTAGCGTTGACATGGTTATAACTTTTTTTGTCCAAAGTGCAGAGTTTTTAAGTGTAGAAATGAAAGGGACTATATTACTACGGTATGTAAAAATCGTAGTTTATTCGTATTTTATTCAGCGGCTTCTACAAATCTTACGGCGATAATGCAATCGGCTATGTCCAAATAAAAGAGATGGAAAATTATGTACAGTAAAAGGTCGAGTTCTCCGGAGCATAAACTACGTAAAGAAGGTTATCGTGTTACAGTTATTTTAAATGAAACGCAAAGTGTGCCACACATTTTAAACTTTATCTAATTTTCGACGTCATTCTCCAACTGTAAAATTAAAAATATGTTATAGACAGGTTTTGTAAGTATTAGGTATGTCACTAATGCGTTTTTTACGTACAAGCAGATTAATTAAGCATATAACAAGTATATTCGCCAACTTACGTCAAAGTGATCTTCTCAGCATCGAATAATGGTCTTTGGAGAATAATTGTCATTTCTCTTCGCAGCTTGAAACCACTTTTTTTTCAGTTTTGGGTCAGAAGTTCCAGTCCAAAACAATTTATTTGGGAACTTTGTTGAAGTAGATTGGCACAAAACATGAGTCAACACGGCTTTTTTTCGGAATATTAGTGGTATTGTTATGATCACATGATGTTGATGGATAGTCCATTTTAAATTTTTCAAAAAAATATTTCGGAAGTCGAAAAAATATGCAAAAGTATGAAAACTTAAACCCAGCAACGAACAATTACGACCAGTGACAGACAGGAGTGACGTCATCGCAACCATAGGTTCGTTTTCGCGCGAAAATTTAAATTGTCAATTTAAAACCGCATTTTTTCCGATAAATCACAATGTTTTAATTTTTTAATATATCTGTGGTTTATTCTACATGGAATTCTTTAAAATGAAAACAAAAATAAAAATATTGCATCTTCCCTATTCGATGTTTCTTTAAAACATCGATGCATCGAGTATATTGAAAGCTTTTCAAAACATCGGATCGATTCGATGTTTTTCATTGCAAACATCGATGTTTTCGATGCATCGATTTATATCGAATATCCATACTCTATTGCAAGGTCGTAAAATTTTATTGTTTTGCTTTTTACGTGACAAGATAAAAACTTATTCCCTGATTTAAGGTTTATTACAGGTTTCAGCTGAAAACGGCATTATCGTATGCATAATTTGAACAATGTTGTGAAAATCTTATTCGGATACTGGTCGTAGGATACAATTGACTCTTTCACTCATAGGTTCACCTAACCAAATACTATGGAACCGGAAAACTGGTCGTTTCTATAGTATTTGACCTAACTACAGGTACAGATGCATGGGAAACAGAAACAGTTCCATCCATCATTCCGACTGAAAAACTTATGGCTCCGTCCATTATGATGATACTCTGTGTCTATGACAGAACCAAAACCTTTTGAGTTTTGATCAGACATAATCTTCGTCTTAGTAATCTGTGACCACCAATACGAAGGTGGTAGGTAGATAAAGGTACTCGCTCTATTTGGTAAAACAAAGTTGAAGAACATAACAATAAAACCTGATTTAATAAACATATCTTGTTGTAACTTTGTGTTTGTCTACAAGTAAGTACTCATTTATTGTAATCACATAAACTTCTATTTTGAGAACAAAATTTTTCAACACGTAGGGATATCGTAATTTTTCTTTGACGTTTCTTTCATTGTTTACTAAATAATGTGATTTCATTAATTTAACATAAAAATGCTTCTTCATTTATTCTTATAGACTTTAGCAAAATATTGATCCTTATTACGAGGTTTATTTTCTCCTAAAGCGTTCAATACTAGCCGTTTCTTTATGAGTCATGCTATCTAGTTGTTTTTTGTGTTGAATGTTGGCTGTGTTGAATAGCCATGAAATGCTACAGTAATGCACCTAATATATTTAATTACATTTTGTTACTTTTAGACCCTGTTTAGATGTTTACACTAATGCTACACTAACATAAAATTTTGTAGTTAAAATTGACATTTTCCAGAATCATGACTTCAGGACCATATAACTATTCTTACATATTTAAATATATTATTATTGGTGACATGGGTGTTGGAAAATCTTGTCTACTGCATCAATTTACAGATAAGAAATGTGAGTACCTATATTAATGCCCTTAATCCTATCAAAATTACAATGGTGTCGATTCTGGCATGATTCTCTAAAGCTTAACTTAAATTTGACAACAGTGTATCCTGGTCATTCTCTATATAGAATAAAAAGGACAGACTGATATTAAATTTAGTTTTAAGTTTAGAGAATGCTGCCAGAATCGACACCAATACCTTTATTAAAACCATTGATTAAAAAAAAAGTCTTAACCCTGTTGTGCACCTATTAGAATATAATAGATTGCAATAAAATTATTTAATTGAATATTAATTTAAAATAATGAATTGAAGGTGGATTTAAAAGTAATTCATACTAGTATTGCACTAAATATGGGTCATGTTGGATTTGGCCGAATGTTCGGTTTAAATACTTGCTGAAGCTTTTTTCATTTACTTTTGCTTGATGAACAAAAATGTTTGAATGTTTTTAATAATATATAATTTTGTTTTGTTACAATAAAAAAAACAGGATATTTCTAAATGCAATTAAATACTTTTTACATCAAAATAATTATTTTACTGCAAACAAAACATTCGTTGAACAAAAGTGATGCTAAAAATAATTCAAAAATATACATCTAATCTGTAGTTACAAAAAATTCTTTTTTTTTCTTTTTGTTATCTTTTCCTTTTATTTGAAGTAAATCATTAACCAAACTTATAATGGACCAACCTTAAAGGTGAAATAAATCAAATAATGTACCACGACGTCTGGATTCCAAACTGGTATGTACATGCACCTAATAAATAGTTGAAGAGGAAAAGACCTTTTTTTCAACCCTAGTCAAAACTGGCCTTGCAATTAGAAGCATGATGTTCTCCTAAGTCATTCTGGACACCTGGAGATGTTACCAGCTTCCTGGCGCCCTTTTTTTTTAATTGGAAGCTGAGACACCAATTCGGCAACCACCAACCAGCCCTCACCTCCAGCCTTTTAATTTAGCTAGTTAACTAATTTTAGAATCAGGTATATTCTTATCTCCCTCTTTTTTTTTTACCTTACATCTTCAATAAAAAAACAGTTATTTATATATTTGAAAAGAAAGGATCTGCTTCATTATATTAAAGTATACGTTCCTTCCAAAAAAAAAATATTAAATATCATTCACCAGTGTGGGATTTAAAACACTTCAAAAATTTCATAATTCAAAAATTATGCAAGTTTTGTGTGGTCTTCATTATCAAAACCAAAGCTTTTCAGAACACCCAAATAAAATTAAATGTGCAAGTGTTAAAATATATTTAATAATGGAAAATATAAATAAAAAAGGGTCAAATGTAAATTCAGAGGAAATCATCACTGGGCTACATAAATCAGTCTTTGTTTTGTAATGTTTTTTTAGTTTATAGTTAATTTTTTTTTTCAAAATCAACACTGCAAATAAGCATTTTACTGATTTTTTGACGTGACAACGTCTTAAATTAGGTTGCGGCTGGGAGTCACTTATGAAAAAGTGTAACGCTCGGTAACGTTACGATGAGTCTCTCGTGTTAAGTTTAAGTTTACATGTACAATGTTTTAGTAAACAAAATATATTTCTATAGTTAAAATTTGTGCAATTCTTATTTTCATTCAATTCCTTGTTCCTATTGTGCAATTTAATTATATTCATATCAATAAATATCTACCGAGAAAAAGACGTTGTCACGTAAAATCTTCGCCCGTAAAACCGACTTTACAGGCAACCATTTTTTTTTTTTAAATTATGGAATCCAAATCCAATTTAAGAAAAGTGTCAGTATGCTAAAAGATTTTTAACTTAATGATTCTTTTTTCTTTGCAACATATATTAGAAAATGATTTCTTGGCTTTTAGTAGTTTTTTTCGGCAAATCAAAAAATTTACATTTTGTAAACAAAACATTTCCAATCCTAAGCAAAAATACTTATTGCACAGCAAAATAGTCACCTCAAAATATTGTTATATTAGTAACAATTTAAGTTTGTGATGCATCGCTATTTATTTAAAACAAGAGCTTTTTTAAGAATGCATAGCTAATAATAACCACCTCAAAACAAATATATTACATAATTTTTTTTTAAACAAGCAGCCAACTTTTTATCTCATACAGCAGTTTACCTAAGTGAAAACCATTTTAATTGACATAAGAATCTAATTATTGAAGTAAAACTTCTTTAGGCACGCTTGACTTGGGGCGTAAACTGGTGAATGTTTGAATGTTACGATTTCGCGTTACGATTAGTGTCATTGGTGACTCATCGGTAAACAATGACCAATACCCGTCACGGATATCACCCACCAATACGCGCTGGGTCCATTATAACCCACCAATCCGCGCTGGGTCCGTTATCACCCACCATTCCGCACTGGGTCCGTTATCACCCACCAACCCGCGCTGGGTCCGGTACATCCACCAATCCGCACTGGGTCTGTTATCACCCACCAATCCGCGCTGGGTTTGTTTTCACCCACCAAGCATGTATTTTGTGACGGGTATTGGTCATTGTTTACCGATGAGTCACCAATGACACTAATCGTAACGCGAAATCGTAACATTCAAACATTCACCAGTTTACGCCCCAAGTCAAGCGTGCCTAAAGAAGTTTTACTTCAATAATTAGATTCTTATGTCAATTAAAATGGTTTTCACTTAGGTAAACTGCTGTATGAGATAAAAAGTTGGCTGCTTGTTTAAAAAAAAATTATGTAATATATTTGTTTTGAGGTGGTTATTATTAGCTATGCATTCTTAAAAAAGCTCTTGTTTTAAATAAATAGCGATGCATCACAAACTTAAATTGTTACTAATATAACAATATTTTGAGGTGACTATTTTGCTGTGCAATAAGTATTTTTGCTTAGGATTGGAAATGTTTTGTTTACAAAATGTAAATTTTTTGATTTGCCGAAAAAAACTACTAAAAGCCAAGGAATCATTTTCTAATATATGTTGCAAAGAAAAAAGAATCATTAAGTTAAAAATCTTTTAGCATACTGACACTTTTCTTAAATTGGATTTGGATTCCATAATTTAAAAAAAAAATCAGTAAAATGCTTATTTGCAGTGTTGGTTTTGAAAAAAAAAAAAATAATTATAAACTAAAAAAAAATTACAAAACAAAGACTGATTTATGTAGCCCAGTGATGATTTCCTCTGAATTTACATTTAACCCTTTTTTATTTATATTTTCCATTATTAAATATATTTTAACACTTGCACATTTAATTTTATTTGGGTGTTCTGAAAAGCTTTGGTTTTGATAATGAAGACCACACAAACCTTGCATAATTTTTGAATTATGAAATTTTTGAAGTGTTTTAAATCCCACACTGATGAATGATTTTTAATATTTTTTTTTGGAAGGAACGTATTCTTTAATATAATGAAGCAGATACTTTCTTTTCAAATATATAAATACCTGTTTTTTTATTGAAGATGTAAGGTAAAAAAAAAGAGGGAGGTTAGAATATACCTGATTCTAAAAATTAGTTAACTAGCTAAATCAAAAAAAGGCTGGAGGTGAGGGCCGGTTGGTGGTTGCCGAATTGGTGTCTCAGCTTCCAATAAAAAAAAAAGGGCGCCAGGAAGCTGGTAACATCTCCAGGTGTCCGGTATGACTTAGGAGAACATCGTGCTTCTAATTGCAAGGCCAGTTTTGACTAGGGTTGAAAAAAAGGTCTTTTCCTCTTCAACTATTTATTAGGTGCATGTACATACCAGTTTGGAATCCAGACGTCGTGGTACATTATTTGATTTATTTCACCTTTAAGGTTGGTCCATTATAAGTTTGGTTAATGATTTACTTCAAATAAAAGGAAAAGATAACAAAAAGAAAAAAAAAAGAATTTTTTGTAACTACAGATTAGATGTATATTTTTGAATTATTTTTAGCATCACTTTTGTTCAACGAATGTTTTGTTTGCAGTAAAATAATTATTTTGATGTAAAAAGTATTTAATTGCATTTAGAAATATCACATATTGGTCCATTATAACTTTGGTTAATGATTTACTTCAAATAAAAGGAAAAGATAACAAAAAGAAAGAAAAGAAAAAGAGCTGAAACAAAATGAGACTTTGTGAGACCAGGCAACATGGCGAGTTATATATCACAATCTTAATCATTTATGTTACCTGCAATCGCAACTCTTAAAAGGTTTTATTAAAGGGTCATTGGCACCTTTATTAATTTAAATTAATGCAATGAGCGCTTTATAAGGAAAAAGTTAAGTTTAATATTTATATTTCTCATTTTTTTTAAAAAGGTGACTGTTCGTCTCGGGAATGAATCGAAAAGTAGTGTTGCCCGGTCCTACTTCGAAAAACGCCTTGAGTCTCAGTGTTGTCGTATTAAAATTTTAATTTGGGCATGGACAAACCATAAATTACAAAAAAGTTTACTTAAATTTAGAATGACGTATTTTTAACAATTATTATTAATTTACTATAATGTTATCTAAAATTAAACCAATATTTTAAAGATATGTTTTATTTATTAAAAATAGGGAAAATTCTTGAGTGACGGATGTCAAACTATTTAATATTTATTTATCTATGTAACGGCGTAGATACGACGTTACAAAGGGATGAAAGATACTTGTACTAATTCACAAATACTGAACACTTGGTTTAATATGGTATACTTCATATATTATACTATGTAATATTTTAACAAATTGAAGAATCTTATTTTAGTTATGGCGGACTGTCCCCACACTATTGGTGTGGAGTTTGGTACTCGGATCATTGAAGTGGCAGGACAGAAAATTAAATTACAAATTTGGGATACTGCTGGTCAGGAAAGATTTAGAGCTGTTACGCGATCTTATTACAGAGGTGCAGCTGGTGCCTTAATGGTTTATGATATAACAAGAAGGTAAACATCACATTTATTAATTAGATAGGTACTTAAGTAGTTTGATGTTAACTAGTATTGTGGAACTACCTAAATGTGGAACTAACTGTCACCGTCTAACTGTGGCTACAATTCCAACGCGTACAAAGAAAGGACAGTGGGCAAAACGCACCCAGCTCCGCCAACAATGTAATTAGTATGAATCGATAGATCTATGAAAAACTAGTCTTTTTTTATTATGACACCGAAAATAAATATCCTGGGAGTCAAAAGATATGACACCGTAAAACATATCCTGGTAGTCAATAGATATGACACATGGGCATATTTAAGTAGCTGAATAAATTCATTTTATAGTACCTTCATTTTATATTATTAGTAATCGGAATAATATGCCATATCGTACTATACAACCAGATATACGACAAAGCCTGCCGACCCTCCTGCGCTTGCTCTTAATGAGACATTTCAAAACGATTTACGGATGATGAAGGACTTGCAGTTGCAAATAGTCGACTCGTCTTACTTCGTTGTGATTGTGCGCTCCCTACTACTTAATTGATTTTTATCTAACACGCTTTGGATATTGGAACACGATTATCGGTTTTGTCAATTAGTATAGATGAACTGGAATTATGTGTTCTCCGAAGCGTGGACAAGTTTGTGTAATCTGTGGTCGCGGTACATAGAAGATATGTAAAACGGACAATATACTATAACGAAGAGAATGTTTAAAAAAAAAACAACCCATGCGGGGATGCTTGGATTTACTCTAGCACGGCAGAATAACATAAGGGTGCCCCTAGCACCTTTTGAAGTACTCCCATAATTCCTGAGCACCCTATGTAGAGTCGAACTAACTAACTAAATTAATTCCCTTGAACATTAATGTTCGTTCTAGTACTTATACACATTTAACTTAAAATAACTAAAGACCCCCGGGATGGAATTTGATGCGCTTTGATACAGATGATCTTGACTATAATACCTTTCAGACAAATGTAGTTTAAGCCGCGGCGGACGTGGGTGCAGCGTCCATACATTTTTGCCCAATGTCCTTTGGTGGCTCATTTCTTTGTCGTACTATCCGTAAATGGAATGCTCTGCCCGCTCACGTGTTCCCTCCCTCTTACAACCTGGGATCCTTTAAAAGAGGCGTGAAGAAGCAACTTGCAGGCCGGCAGGGTGAGGATGGTTGGTGTTGCAGTTAGAACTGCTGTATCAGCTATCTTCGCGTCTGGACTTTACCTTCACTTAACATCAGGTGGGGTGGTGTCTTTTGTCGAACCTATGTATAAAAAAAAAAAAACTATTGTGAAAATCATTTGCCAATGGGGGTGACATGTATGGGACTTTTTTGAGAAAAAATCCCACTTGTCACCAGAGAAGACAAAGCTGGGGTTGATAGCGGAAATGTTCTGATTTATTGAGCGGTCATGTGGTGCAAACTATGCAGTTTCTTTGCGTCCTACTGTTGGTGCCAGGTTGTCATTCTTGTAAATTATTTGCTTTGCTTTGATGATTCTGTCCTTCATGGTATGAACGTTTTGACCCTCCCTCGGTGGTTCTCATTGACGGCAAACCATAGTTCGTTCACTACTGTAAACTGGCATCTTGCCAAAAACGGATGTGTTTACAGTAGCCAAATAACAAAATTTTGCCGCACTCTAGCTTTTTTGAGATCTTACGGTAGGTCGTAAGAAGCTTAAGTTTAAAAATCCGGGGAATGTAGGGTGGTCCCGTCATATTGGAAAACGCATTTATCGCTATGTCTTCCAAATTTCAACTCCGAATGACAAGTGATACACATACACAACGATTCCCTTTGATCCAAAAGTCGAGTGGGCCTGATGGAGTCCCACTAGTTGTGTTGAAAATATGTGCTCCTTAGTTAGCTCCAGTAACAACGCGTCTCTTCCGAATATTCTACTCATTCGGCGTTGTTCATAAGACTACCCGATTCCTAAAAAAGGCGGCTGCTTATTTCTTGCTAACTACATTCCTACAGCCATCACCTCCTTATACTCCAAGATGATGTAATCCATTATCAAATATCAGCTCGCAGGAGCTGATAGTTTTAAAATACCAGCCACGAAGACAACCAGCTGATCTTTGACCACCAGTTGGGTTAACGTGTGCTCCGCGTTTCTGCGCTCCGCAGCCTCGCTCCGCTCCAGTGGACAGGCAGGCTTAATGTGACATAAGCTAACGTGGTGACCATGTTGAGGAGCAAAATTTACACAATTAGATACGATTGGCAGTTTCAATGCAATTATGATATCTGCATTCAAATTGTAGTATAAAAGTGCAGTTGAAATGCAGTCTCTTCGTCTAAAGCAGTACCAGTAGCATTGAGCATCACAATTAACATTATATCACGTTTTTTATCGCCTCTAACTGTCAAACTCCATAGTAATTTGACAGTGGAGCGTGATAAAGAGCGAGCTTTCTTGTTTTTATAAGTTTCCCAACCATTTCTGTGGAGTATAAAAAAAAATAATTAATTTTGCAGGTCGACTTACAATCATCTAAGCAGCTGGCTTACAGATACCCGTAATTTGACAAATCCCAGCACTGTGATATTTTTAATTGGTAATAAATCTGATTTGGATGGTCAAAGAGATGTTACATACGAGGAAGCCAAACAATTCGCTGATGAAAACGGGTTAATGTTTGTCGAGGCTAGTGCTAAAACGTAAGTTATTTTATTTCTATCTATGCAAGATTATTGTATGTTAGTACATTTTGCAGCATTTGGGCAGCCGCAATAAGGAGGAACAACTTGCCACCAGAGACTTTTGAAAGTGCCTAGTATTTTTTTAACGTCTCATATTAGCGATCTAGACCCGAAATAGTTTTCTAATCGCCAATTTGTGACCTGAAAATGTCCGCCGAGGACTTGTCGCGTACTCAAAGCCCAAGGTGTGCGAACATTTGTTGCCCTGAAATGTAGTGTAACGCAAATTATTGAAACAAATAGTCTGAGATTTCGTTTCGTTGTATTAAACATGAAGTATAAGAAAACAGTTTGAAAGAAAAATTTGGGTCCATACTTTCTATCGGATTGAGCGCGCAACGCAGACTAAAGTTAGCTGTGTGCGTTGCTACGCCTGGTTACATGAGCTCTATTTTTTCGGAGACTTCCTCATACTTGTGTCCTGGCGATTGCTATGGCTATCGCTATCGCTTACGATTTCATTTTGTTATTTCTTAACTCCTAAGGTTTACAATGCCTCGCGCTGGTTTTTTTTCTTGCATTGGCAATCACAATATTAAAGAAAATGTGCCTGAAGTATTTGAAGATCTTCCGCGATCAGAAATAACAAAAAGAAATCGTAAGCGATGGCGATAACCATGCCGTTAATGGATTAGCCCCCTGTTGGGTCTTTCGGCGTCCTCAGTTGTTCGAGGGACTTATGTACGCGAGACTTAACTCCTCGTATGAGTTACGTTGCAGTTCAAAGCGAACTATTTTGGCGGACAAAATAGTACGCGAACAAAAGTCCTTAAAACAAGTCCGATCTGTAGGCTTATAACGTGTGTAGCATTTACACTACCCAATTTTAAGGAACCCTTAGACCGAATAAGGGTGGTGCAACATGAGTTAGGGAGTAAGGGACCCGATATAGGGCGATCGGCGCGGTGTAATAATTGCTACCCTAGCCTGGGGCCACGCCCACCCTTTCGATAGGGCCCTTAAAAGGTAGTGCAAATGCCGTTTATTTGCTAACTACTTTTGACAGATACTACAGACTACTGATTTATAATAACGCCACTAAGATAATTTTTCTGAAAAGCATCGATTGCTATGCAATTTTATCTTTAGTTTACACTCTGTAAATGTCAAAAAATTTATATTTGTGTCTATGGTTTTGCCCTATTATACTCTATCCCGCGTGTTATTTCTGGAATATGTTATATTTATAATGCTTTGTTACAGTTTTTTTATAAGAAATAACTATTTCGTCTAAATACACAAAAGACACGTATTTCGAAACGACTCTTGTCTCGAAGATTGAGATTTAAAGACTTTTTATTTTTAATCTATACATCCCGGCAAATTTCTTGAGCAACGACTACAGACAAGAAAGCCTGTGCAGCAGCAGTTTTACATACAAAACCATCTACCGCGCAAGGTTATTTGTCTGTGGTTTTGCTCAAGAACACTGGGACATGTGTTAGTATTAAGCAAGGAACTTATAAACTAACTGGAATGCTTACGAAACAACATGGGAATTCAAAAAATGTACTCTAACTAGTTATACATAAAGTCCATTTTTGTTTCTACCTTCATAAGGGGGAAAAATACTAGCGCGACGCGTAAGCATTCCAGTTAGTATATAAGTTCCTTGGTATTAAGATAAGCAATCCAATATTTTAGGGGGCAAAACGTAGAGGAGGCATTCCTCGAGACAGCGAAGAAAATATATCAAAGCATCCAAGACGGTAGGCTGGACTTGAACGCCGCAGAATCGGGCGTGCAGCACAAGCCCGCGTCGCCGGGCCGCCCCCTCGCCGCGCCGCCCGCCGCGCGCGACAACTGCTCCTGCTAACCGACTCCGGCGTCGGCTTACATTACCGCACCCCGGGCACCTCATAGAGTTATAAAAATAGAGTGGGGAAGGCGGCTCTAAGGCCCGTATGATGCCCGTATGACAACTAAGTGTTGATCTTTACTTGAGTACAGTTATAAAGGGATGTCGCTATGTGCTATATATAGCGACATCCCTTCCTAACTACGATGAAGACTAGATCAATCACTGAGTCTTTATATAATACGGGCCTAAAGTGTCCGTCCAGTAGAAAGAGAAAGAAGATGAGAGACCGCTATCTCTCGCTCTCTTGTGACGCATGCGCAGTCGTCTGTCCAATAGTTGGTCCAAGCATCACATCGAAATTGTAAGATGCTTACGGTTACCAATGCGCATGCGCGATTAGAGAGAGAAAGCTGGCGGTCTCTCATCTTCTTTCTCTATCTATTAGAGGGACACTTCCACTTGTATTAGAGTCTACATCGTCCCTACTCTATTCTTATACCTCTATGGGGCCCCTACCCTCGATCGGGATCGCTCCGGCTACAGCTACCGCTTACGAATTCGTCTTGTTATCTCTGACCGCTGAAGGTTTTCAAATGACTCAAGCTCGTTTTCTTTAATATTGTTATTTTATTAGCAATGTAAAAGAAGAAACACGGCGCGAGGCATTTGAAAAACTGTCTGCGTTCAGAAATAACAGAATGAAATCGCAAGTGCTAGCAATCCCGGTAGGCCCCCGGACACATCTATCGGCCCACTTAGTGTTATAAGTTTCAACGTTCTGTAGCAGCAATATAAAAGTAAGTTTGAGCTATAATAATATACACATTTTTTAAACACACGAAAAAGATAGTTCATGTCACCTGCAGAACTATGAAAAAAACCTTTCCTCAATGTAACTTTTTTTTTGCTTTTGACCGTAAAATTTAAAATGGATAGTGGTCGATAGATGTGTCGGGAAGTATATTAGAGCGCTCTCACATTGACCCACTAGGCGCGACCACTAAACGTAAGTATTTACTCAGCCACCAAACGCAGTTAATAGTGGCTTAATGACCGTCATAAAGTCGGCGTGTGCGCAACATAGAATAATAATTTACATAGAAAGTAACAAATGCACACTGCATTCGGTCCTCTTATTTTCACCCATGGGCTCCATAATCACACTAATATTATAAAGGCGAAAGTTTGTGAGTGTGTGTGTGTCCTTCACGTCTAAACGGCTGCAGCGATTTTAATAAAATTTGGTATGGAGTTAACTGGACGACGTTTGACTACGGGAAAATATCGCTAATAAACCGCGGGTAACACCGCGGGGCACAGATAGTGTATTATAAAGAGATTTAAATAACACTTTTCGTTCATCGTTTGGAAAGATGGCCAGCAATGTTAATAAATTGTGAAAATATGTTTTAAGCTCACTAACTCCAACGTGAAAACTGTCAACATTTAAAACTTACAAAGTTTCTATTTTGAACGCTTTTCAGTTTGTTTATAATATGAGAAATTTAACCAAAAGTTAGGCACAAAGTAATACCAAGTCTTGGACAACTTTGAAAAAAAACAGCCCAAAGTACTGTCTTCACTTACACGCGTTGGCTGCGCTTCGGTTAGATAAATACCGGTCTAGCCAAACATTTTGATTTTTTCACTAGCGGCCGCCCGCGACTTCGTCTGCACAATCTTTAGTTTTTCAAGAATACCGAACAAGAACCTAATATTTTTCCGGGATAAAAAAAATATTGCATATGTCTCAATCCAGGTCATCTACTATATGCGTACTAAATTTCATTCAAATCCGTTCAGTAGTTGCGTGATAGCGTAACAAAAAAAACTCACTTTGGCATTTATTATATTAGTTGGGATTCCTTTTGCAAATTATTATTCTATGGTGGCTCAGTAAGCCATTTCGGGCGAGTCCCGGAGCTTGTGACTCGAACGCTCAATTTGCGACTATACTATACAGTGTCAATTTTAAAACACCAACAACCACTTAGGGGGTGATTCTACCCATCAACAATAACAATACTCATTATGGCACCAACTCAGAAATTGATGATGAACAAGCTGATGCACTTTTGTATGAAACAGCAGATTTTTTTTCGCGATTTCAGCGTTGTTGCCATAATGAAAATTGTTCCTGTTGATGGGAGAATGACCCCCTAAGTGGTTGTTGGTGTTTTAAAATTAACTCTGTATACAATACGCGTGAAAAAATTCGTCCGCAGCTTGTGGTCGTGTTTAGTGGCCGCGAACAATGGCTCAATGTGCGGTTGCACCTTACCTTTAGGAAATCACACTTAATTGTTAAGAGTTTATTATTAGTGAGTATTAACTGCAACATTATTATTGTGAATCAACATGCAATTTATATCGTTTATCATTATAGGTACATTATTTATCTTTTATCTACATAGAGTTACATTCCACATTTTTTTTTTGTATTTGAATGCAATTATTTTTTTTAACATAACAACTTAAGTCTGGAAGTAGACTGTGACTATTCTGAATCGAAAATGAACATTAACTAAAAGAAAACTATTTGCATTTAAGTATTTATGAAATTTTATGAAACTTGCAATATTTTATTAAAATGAATTTAATTTATTTCTATCTGTACAGGAGCATTTTTTCATATTTTTGCGATTCCTTAAGCCTCTTAAAATTCTAAATGGTCTGTACTTATCAGCATTATTACAGCGAGTCCATTGCGTGGCTTGGTAATTTCCTATTCATAATATACATACATCAAACAAGAGATTTTATGAACAAAGCATAAAAGTTGCACTATCATAATGGTGTGGCTCATTAGGGAAAGTATAGAGCTAAATTTACTATTCTTTTAAAATCAAGTAGGTTTTGATTAAATTTTGATACATTAGGTATATGTCGTTACATTTATCAATAAATCGTTTTAAGGAGTAAGTTTTACAAGACTACTAGATGGAGTAAAATAGCAATGGCTAGGGGAAGCAATTGCCTGTAACTTGCTTAGAGTCAGACCTTCCCAGTAGTCACCACAGGCGGCGGCGCTTTTTTTCATTTATCAGTGACCTATAATAATAAATCTTAAATACGCAGGTACTGTAATAGTTTATCGGTGAAAAATGTAGTTCAATTATCAAGTAAAAGTACCTACGTAAGGAATTAATCGTAACATAAGACTACATAACCCCACAGGAAGTGGCGTAGTATGGATGGATCTTAGCCTCCCTTTTACAGATCGCACCCCGCTAAAGTAGCTATATATATATTTTCTTTCGTCAAATGCACTTCACATCACTATTGTCATTTTGATAACAGTCTCTCTTTATAATGCTCGATAACGAGAGACTTGTCAAATGTACAAATTGCAAATACGATTAGCCATGTGGAGTGCCGGCATAATAATATATCTAAAATAGGCGATAAGTGTGTACTTCTTGGTGACCCCTAATAATACTAATTTAACTATATACTATATGTATATATATACTTACTACATATTATAATATTTGTGTTACATTTGGTGAATATGGTGACTGCATTAGGTATGTCAGAATAGTTAACGAACATTTTGGTCATCACTGTATGGCTAACTCACTTCGCGGTTTTTCCCGCGCCGGCTGCGGCTCACGAAACCGCAACTTGCGTCGAATGTGAAATTGTAGGTATAATGCTATTCAACTAAAAATAAGAGCGATTGGACGCCATATTGTGACGTCGTAGCTGTCAATTCAAACCAAATAGGTAAAGTGAGCAAAAAGAGATTTTATTAAATAAAACTTCTAACAATATTAAGTGAGAAAATCATGAGATTTTTTTATTCAAATATTTACTAAGATTGAGAAAAAAACAACTAATTTTTAATAAATATTTATTAATTAAGACTGTGAGAAAAAACTTAAATCAGAATCTAGCTCTTCAATTCCGCTCATCTCTGCATTACCGCCGGAGTAGTTATGAATCATCATGCACTATTACTAGAACACATACGAACATGCATCCTTTAGGTAAACGAAGGTTTTAAATTGAGTTTCTAATCGCAACTTAAAGTGACATTTGGTTGACGGTTTAGGTTATCAACCATTCAAAGCCAAAGCTCAATAAATGAAAAAACATATCAACCAATATCAATTATCAATATTTGTTATTGTTTGTTTACAAATGTGTGGTTTTTAATCTAGAATTAGCAGAGTGCTAAAAAAGGGTTACAAGAATTTTTTTGGGAAACCGTACTTTTCAAGCGATATTTGACAGTTGGAGGTCATTGGCTTTCCTATTCTTATTTGAATCGCATTATAAAACGCAAAAGCAAAACTCACGGCGCAATTTGATGTGTTATTGATTGTTTGTGTACGAGGCGCGATCACCCAACAGACGCGTTTCGCCCGCCGAACGCTGAACGTTGACTGCGCTTCGGGGTCTTGTGAGTTTTGAAACAACGTCCGCGGCGTGTGCGGGAAGAACCCCTGCATGAGTGAGTTTTAGCCTGTATCCTCAGGAGTCTTTAGAATCAAAGAAGGGGCAAATACTAGACGAGTAGGTCCATCTACTCGATGGTGGTAATTGTTTTTAGAAATATCCATTCCAAATTATATTATTCAGCCATTGTTCCCCACATCTTAAGTTGTCAGTAGTGTTATAGTGGGCACATTTGGAGTAATTAATCTTTTAACCCGACTGTGTGACGCGCATGGAGGGTAATGTGGTTTTATTTTTGCAGTTCCTTCAAATCTGCTTTAGAAAACTATAGGAAGTAGTGAAACTATAAAGTTCTAACTGACACTTTTGTATTAAAGTTAAATCAGTTTCAGTTCAGTCAGCAGTTTTTCTAATCATTCAAAGTGTCAGGAACCCTTCACAGTGTCAGTGAATTGAGAGGACAATATAGTTCTTATGATATAGAATAACTTGAGTGAATGTCATGAGAATATCCGCGGACACGAACATTTTCAATGATCATTTTAACAGACGAAGCTTTGAAGATTTGTTATGTTAATATTATTCTAAGTAAACAGCAATATTTGCTAAACTGAATACAGGTAGTGCAAACCTAAAAAATAAAATAAAAAACAAATATTATAAATCGACATTAGGTATAACTAAATTGTAACTTTAATAATTTATTCGTTTGCATCAACATAATACTTACGTAGCATAGAAATCAAGAATTTTTATATTTGCACGTTTTGGCCTAGGTAAGCGTTTGCATGCGATATTTAAATGCTACGTGTTGATAGCGTGTATTAAAAGTTATGTCTAATTATATCGTCACCTGCATAACTTTGAAAGAGCGAGCTACTTAGTCGGGCCAATGCAGAAATCGTCGAGTGTGTGTATGACAAGGGGCGCGTTAGTTTTGTAAAAGATTCAGTCGTAACCTATTTAAATAAGAAGCCAAAAACCACTGCGGTACGCAGTTGTCGTTCCGATTTAATGTTTAGAGAATTTTTAGGGTTCCGTACCCTAAGGATTACTTCGGAACTCTATTACTAAATCTATCTGCAATTCGGCCGACTAGTAGGTAAGTGCGTATTTCATGAACGGTAGACAAACTAAACAAAGGTTTTTTAATTTAAAGTTTTTGTTGAACTAATACAACTACTTTCGTATTTCAAATGTTAAACATTGTACGTTGGTACGGAACCCCTTAGTGTTACTCGCACTTGGCTGGTTGTCTGGCCGTCTCTCTTTAGGCGGACTTTATCTTCATCTTCATTAATGAACTCGAACAAGGGCAAAGAGATCTGGAGTCCCTTACAACACTGCTTGGCCAATTACAATGTTCATTGCGCACAGTGCCTAAAGTACCGTAAACAAGTAAAGAACGCTGGTATACACATTCAACAGGACCACGCAATGTGTACATACTAAATAAAAATATGTTTGTAGCCAGACCCCTCTTTCCCAGTTTGGGCAAGTGCCCAGGGCCCTGCGATCGATAGGGGCCCACTTGAGATCAAATACAAAGTCCCTAGTTCCTGTTAGATCACCAAACGGGGGTCATAGGGGCCCCATTATCCGAATATGCCCAGGGCCTCCATAGGTCAAAGACGTCACTGTTTATGGCTTTAATATGTACTAGCATTAAAACCAGCTCCAGCGCCCTAGATACCTCTACAAGTCGAAAATTAGACCTAAACGAGACGAGATCTTGTAGACTATAAGGCATGTAAGTACTTGCAAGCCCCTCCGTCATCATCATGCAGTGAGTATTAGCGATTTGGTAAACTTAAATTAAACTTGTTTTTATTTTGTTTTTACATGTACTATACAAACGACAGATTAAGCAACCAAAGATAAAAAAGGATTTTATGTTTCGTGTGTATACATAAATTTTCTATTATATTCTTCTTATTTAAATATATTGTTATTGGATCTGAATTTCAAATGATATGGCATTTCATTATTTTATTACACTCCTAAACCTATACCTTGTCCTAAATTATAGTATACCCAACTATTAGCCGTAGACTAGGTAGTCTGGTGAACTCTGCAATATAGGTATTTTTAGGACGAGAATAAAGACTTGTTAAATCAATAAGTCTTCTTCCAAAATAACCAACCATTTCCTTGGCGACCCCGTCTCTCTCAAAATTGTTTATTTTAAACTCTTCTTCATGAGGAGGCAGCCGCCGGCAGCGACGCGGCGAGCACATTTTCATTGAAAGCGATGTGAAAAATTTTAAACTTTATCTACATACAAACTCAAAGACCAGTATCACCCGCGCAGTAACCCGAGTATTGCGAGCAAGCGTAGCGTAGGTGCAAAAAGTTAGTTATTAGTTTGTTAGGTAAGTCTTTTAGGTATAAGAAGCTCGGTAGTGCAGGTTTTAATCGCGTTGAGTCTGCGATCGTGGAAGTTAAGCAATTTTCGTTATGGTCGGTCATCGGATGGGTGACCAAAAACTTAGTATCTTGAGCTCCTCCATGCTTCGGAAGGCACGTTAAGCTCTTGGTCCCGGCTGCAACGTCGTTAGCACCCACCAATCCGCACTGGGCCCGCATGGTGGGTTATGGTTCAATCTCCCTTTTCCATTTATATAGGATAGGGAAGGCCTGTTTCCCAGACAGGCTGATGAAAGGAAGGGCAAGAGAGCGAAGAAGACTACTGATACCAAGTCTTGGAAAAATATCACATCGAAATTTGAAATAATCATCGTTTAATTATTTGGATCAATATCAAACTGGTAATAGTTTGGCAACACTGACTGTTGAAGGAGCTAGCTAGCTATCAAAAAATAATTGGTATTAAGCACAGAAATAGATAACGCAAGTGTAATTACTTCGCGTGTCAAAAGGGATACCAATGGCCTTTTACGCTGATTCAATTTCTTCGCGTCACCGTTCTCTATACTGGACATCACATGAATTGTTATGTTTGAAAAGGTGACGCTCCTAAGCATGGCGTAGCCCATCAAAACGTACGGCAACGTCCGTGATGTTAGCGTACACACAATATACGGTGTTTCGTTATTTATTTATATATAATAAAATAAGAGTGCCTCTTTAATTTAAGAAATAAAGACCATTTTTACTGTGTACGCTAGCATGACGTCAAGCTAGCGTACCCATGGCCGTCCCCAAGAACGGCATATATTTAAGCAACGAAATTGACACACAAAAATAATTCGCAATAAGTGCCCAGGCTTAACAAAATTTCATAATCAATACTCTCAAAGGACCAAAGATATTGAACTAAACATTCTTAGCTGGCGTCAACCTGGCGATGGCGTACATATAATAGTTGTCATAGAAAACGAACTTTTCTCGTTATCTTTTCTTTTCCGCCCGACTGTGCCGATTAATGCCAGCCCGCATATGTGTGTAGCTACCCTCACTCGTTATCCGGTGAGCGTCAGGATGATAAGTCACTTCCACAATATTTTACAAATGACCAGCAATTCTGACGTCAGTATGGCTGTTCACTCACCCGTAGAAGTACATACTGTTAGCAATTATTGAAAATTTTATATACTTGACGCACACCATAAGCGGATGATGATCACCAATGGTCGGTGAAATTAAGTTTCTATAAGCTCGTGTGTGCCTCAGGGTTCCATATTGGGTCCATTATTGTTTGTATCATTTATAAATGCCGTACATAAATCCTTCGAATTTATTGCCGTCGATTATATCAGCCGTTTGTAAGACCATCGAGAGAAGAATTCGACCTTGATCAATTATAAACAAAACAAATTATATTTTAATAGAAGAATATAGTTGGATAGTTAGATGGCAGCCAATAATGTTCAGTCGATGAATCATTTGTTTATCATTTAAAAAGTAACACTACATGTTCATTAGTAAAATAACAAATAAATAAAACATTTTTACAAATAAAGAATATAGGTATTTTATTGTATAATAGTACAAAACAATGAAAGGCATTCCATATAATTTTATTAACAATTAACGAGCTTAATAATTGTAATCTGTGTTGACAGACAGTCACGCATCCAATTTCCATAAACTGTAAAATTTTCACAATAGATATAAATATAGCAAGATAAATCTCAGTCAGTAGTTGAAATTTGATAGTTTGGGATTAATTGATTTCATAGAACTGCGATGATAAAATCAAATAATAATAATTTAATGAAAATTCGTCGAGAGTTGGGTATGCCGTTTTGCGATAAGTTTTAAATAAATCTCTTACGATCGCAAACAAATATCATGATAAGCACCAAGGGCGGATCCAGAGGGGGGGTCATGACCCCCATGACCCCCCCTCTGGATCCGCCCTTGGCAGGGGGGGGGGTCATGGGGGTCATGACCCCCCCCCCCCCTGAGCTGGGTCCATCTGTACCCACTTCACAATCTGTACCCACTGTGACTTGACCACGACTATATGACCCCCCCCTGGCGCCAAAGCTGGATCCGCCCTAAGCACAAGGTTCTTGGCCAAGCTGCTGACGCGGGAGTCACGACTGTCCATAGTAGAGCGCGACTTCAACCGGACTAATAGTATGGCGGAAATTTTAGGATTTACTCGAGCGCGGCAGAATAACATAAGGGAGGCAACCTTGCACCTTGTGAAGTGAAAACAAAACTCCCACCAAACGCAAGGCCTTTGTATAACGTCGAACGTCTGGCGCAGCAAAATAATATCAACAATGCCATGGCTTTTGGTCGCATCGAAATCGTCAGTCTTTTCAATAGGAGCTACTGGAGAATGGAAGTTTTTTTGATGCCCTTTCGACTCTATGTAAAGGGCTCCAGTATGAAGCTGCAAGGTTATTCTGCCGCGCTCGAGTAAATCCCAAAATCCTACCCCCTATAATCATCGTCCCCTACTATGTCAGATATGATACCCAGTCTGGTAGGAAACCGCGCCTGAGCAGCCACTATGGACATTTGATTGGAATAGTAAAGCGGGTCTTCGCGCTTGCACTATAGTATTACTTTGAAAATTATCTTTTTCCTATAAAATACGTAATAAGTACTTAGATTTTTAAATACCTTGTGTCTCAAATATACTTTAATATTTTTGACAAAAGTGAACAATAACCACATAGTCCAAATAGCTATCAAATGTAAGGGTAGTCATTTGCAGCTAAACATATTTTCTTTTTACCACAAAAAAGTTAGATATGCGTTCAATACGACACGCGTTTAAGACAAAAATGTCAAACAAAGTTTAAAACCGCCCCTAATTTGTTTGCAGTAATACCGATTATGTTTAACCGCCTAATAAAATAATGCATTAAAAGGGAAGTTTAAAAAATAAACTGATAGCTTTAGGCAAGTTTACAAGAAAGCCGTCAAAAGTAAGTATTTAGAATAAATCGTGGAACAGAATTTGATAGTTACTGCGAGCCAAAATCAGATATTCAATGGCATGTTATTTTTAATTTTACAATTAGGGCTATGTGGTCAGTCTCAAAATGACTACCAATCATATTGTCGATACAGCCTTGGCCCCTATAATAATCACAGTTGGTTTTTTTTTTTTTGAGTATTTTCATAGAAGTTGCTCCTCCATTTCATCTCACTTCACATGGTAAATATGGCTAAGATAATTTAAAGCAAAGTGTAAAAATCCTCCACCAAAATGAACATAAAGACGTCTCGCCGTTATGTCGATAAATGAAAATCCGTAAACTTCTTTATAATTTGGATGACGTGGTTAGCAGTAGTACATCATGCATGTCCTGTAAGGCTTTCTCCAAGGCTCCTCTATACTTGTTACAGTCAGTTTCGGCGTTGGCTTTGAACGCGGACGTGGCGAAATTAACATCGTTATCGCGCGGGTTGTAGCAAGTAGCGTAACCGTTGTCTACAAGAGGGCCATAACACATGAATCCGTCGCATTTACACGCCACCTAAAAGTGAAATAAACAAATAAATATTTCTAAGTAGGTTGTTCTTATCAAAGGGTCTTATGCTGCGTATACGCTAGACGAGCAGAGCCGTAATTCGTGTAGTATGGACCGCCTTACGAGCCTCGAACGAGCGCGCTTCGAGCGTTCGGCTCGTGCTCGACCGTGCTCGGACCGTTCTCGGTTTTTTGACGAATACAAAGGGATTTGCGTAGCACTCGCAGTGCGCTCTTGGAGAGTGATTGTTGTAGGCTCGTTGCACGTCCACACTTGACACTGCGAGCGAGCGGGTCGGCTTGCGCTCCGCTCGTGCCGTCTAGCGTATACGAAGCTTTACAGAGGCGGTCTGTAACTGCGGCTAGCAACAGGCCGCGGCTCTGGCCGTCGTGACAACATTTTGCCGAGGTCACAGTGGCCGTTCGCTGGTGTGGCCTTAATATAGCTTATAACACTTTTTTGAAGTGCAGAAACTTCTTTACCCACGCTTGAGTTGGGGGGTAAGCTGGCGAATGCATTACGCGATACGAAGAGTGTGTTCGGGCGAGGCGAACTGAAGTTGAGTGGGGGATATAAACAAGAGAAAGCCGTGCGCGCGTACATTTTCTTTCTCTCTTTCTCTCTTAGCTAGTAAATGAAATATGTATATGTACATACATGTATATATTGTACACACAGATGGAGCTAAAGAAGTTTCACTTCAGTCATGTGGCCATAAACACACTCGTTTTTTTTCTTCGTCTATCTATATATATATACTCTAGTTTACAAAATTAAACTTTTTGCCTGTTGCTGTGAATTTTATAACTGATGTTGTTCACTTATAACATGTTTTTTTCAAATATTCCTCAAAAATGTCTGTGCAACGCAAATTTCTTTGTTTTTGATATGTGCCTATTTTTTCGATAAGAACATGGGTGTTTTATTGGGTACCTACCTATGAATTTCATATTTTTTGCGACATTAATAGTTCAAGGAGAAATTGTTTAAGCAACCCCAATCATTTTAGATACATATATAATATCTGGAGAATATGTACTAAAGCATATAGAAAATTAGTTGCAGTTTTCGTTAACAATTCCTATTTTTCTGCACTGTAATTTAGGATATCATTGGATAAAATAACAAGTAGCGGGCTCCTGATTGTGTTTGTAAATCGTGTGTTGAATATTTAAGATTAAGAAAACTTGACAGAACAATGAGTTTTAAATGTGAAACACCAACTATTGGACGCGAACCGCAGAATCAAGTTTGTAGTGTCAAAATTTAAGGCATTAACTCTGAAAATCAAGCTATATGGCATTATCCAACTGCTTTCTGTGTTCAGCATTCAGGGCAATAGTCACATGACTTTTCGAAGTCATGTAGTCGATAAATAAAACTAGGAATCATGAAACAGTTTGTTAGAGCACTCAATAAAAATATCCTACAATTTCCAAAAAATCCTTAGATCACTCTAGAATTTTCGCAATTAAGACAACTCTCAAAAGATACTGAATTTAGATATCCCATGATTGAACTTGAAATAGGGCATGGACAGCTTCGTGTCGGTGATGCAAAAGTTTGTGGAATCAAAACAATATCCAAATTGTAAAAGACCTCCTTTCACAATTAAAACATCTGGGATGCAATATAGGCATAATATGTTTTGAGAATTGCATCACCGACCCAACTGTCCATGTCCTGAATAAGGGATTCAAGCTTAATCATGGAATCTCTTAATTCAGTATCTTTTAAGTTGAGTGTCTATATTTCTGGAAATATTGGAGATATAAGCGAAGAGTTGGGAGAGTGTATGCATAAAGATTTACGTCATAGAGGATTTCTGTATTATATCGTGTGTATAGCGTTATCAGGGTTTCTGGGTTAGGAAAAAGATATTTGACTATTACCTGTGCCTTATACTTTACTTCTCTTAGTCTATATAAAAGAGAAGAGTTTTATTTTGGAACTCAATGACTGATTAATTTATTTAACATTTTTTTTGACCGCAGGTAACTGAAACTCATAAACTAAAGCTGATAGAAAAAAAATCGACCTACCAAATATGATTTGTAACTCCCATAACATATTTAGTCAGCAACAGCAAAAAGTTTATCGGCAACAGAGGCACTGAAAACTAGAGTTATCAAAAAGTATTAGACACTTATTTTTTCTTTATTCACATAATCAAAACATTATTTACAGAGATCTATTGATTTGAGATGTCGCACGATGTCCCGTCTTGGTACATTTTTTGCTTAGAAGTGACCTCATTTGCCCCGAGTCCCCAAATATTTTGGCGCTTTATCTTTGTATTTTTTTGGTTGATAATGACAAAAGAGAAAAATAAGTGTCTTATTATTTTATTAAATATAACTGATGGACTAAGAAGAATAATTAACTCCGTCATCTTCAATTAACTTCGGGACTAAGTCTATTAGCTTAGTCCCGAAGTAAGTACTCGTGGAAATGGGAGACTAGTGTATCGGTAAAAACAAATTTAATAATACATAGTTATATATATATATATATATAAACAATCATGGCATTTGGCCCTACCGGGATTCCAATCCGATAACTCAAAGTAGGCGTCATCTTCAAGTCAATCAAAGGTAAAATAATGTGTAAGAAATGTTGCTGTCGGTTTGCATTCAAAAATTAAATCTCACCTGGCTTGTCGATATCCTCATGTGAGCACTCTTGGTAAATCCTGCGTCCGTGTAAAGTTTCGGAATATCAATGCCATTCTCAATTGCAATAAGTTTCAAACCAAGTAAATGTCGATCTACGCCAAAACCTTGAAGTGCCTGTAAAACAGCAATGAAACTTAATTATTGACGTCACACGCTAATAAATTCCCTGTCAAATTGACATTACATTGTATCGTTTGACGTTTTAATGACAGTCGTGTGACGTGTTACCAGCACGGCATGGAATCTTCATAGTTAAAAATTAGAGCAATTTAATAGCCATAGACAAGGAACGGTACTTTAAAATCTGACATTTCCCTCGCCCTCTTCATCCCTTTCCGGTCAACCCCATTCTCCCCGTCCGCGTGAAGGAGCACAGATTAATAAGATTAAATAGGTAAGTCTTCGCCAGTACCAGGCGGTTTCGGTTGCGTAACCATAGAACAAAAACATTGTTTCTACTTAATGTTTTTTTTAGAAAAGTTATTAGTTATTTGTTCTCTCAGCATAGAAAAATCATTGCTAATATTCATATTAAACACTAATACCAATAAGTCAACAATTGGTACTTTTCTTTTCGTACGATTTTACGACGATTGATTTGACAAAGAAAGTAGAAGAGTTTTTGTAGTCACGACTACTAAGTATACCTAATAAATCGACATTTAAGAAAGAAAGTAATTTTACCTGTACTGTATAATTTTTATGAGCATTTATAGCCTTTTGCATCGCCTGCAGTTTGTCCTTGGGTGAACTTTGTGCGTTTAACATAGTTTTAGCAAAGTCCACGGATTCAATGGAACAAGACCTTATAGTTTCCGTACGTCCACCGACGTACATCCTTGTTGCTGCAGACTCGTAATGCGCTCCGGGGGTATTATGAAGCCTATAAAACATTAATAATGACTTATGTATTTAATCCACACCCATGCTCAGGGCCGTCTTCAACCTATTGGAGGCCCTGGGCATATTAGATGATGGCCCTAGCATAATGGGGCCCCTATGACTGATGTGGATTATGACTTGAAATGGAGCGAGTGATATTGATACTCATCAATATCACTCGCTCCATTTCAAGTCATGTTTTGAGTCACGTGATTAGTTGTATGTCGCAGAAAAATCATCAGTAGTACACTCGTACTACTGATGATTTTTGTTTAAAATGTGTATGTGCTTAGTATGCCATTATATGTATATTCAAATTTATCTAAGCATGCTGAAGTCGGAAAGCCTAATTTTTGAGCGAGAGTAGAATAGGTTCGCTTATGTAAAAGCTAGTAACTTGGTATTGTAGTCAGTAATTTAGGTTCGATATCAGTTTCTTGGTAATAAATATTGTTTCTTAGGTTTTCACGCACATCACTCATTAAATAAAACTAGTTTTTACGGGTTAATGCACGAAACTTTATTTATTTATTGACGTTTCGTAGCCTTTACAGGCTTCGTCGTCAGAATAAAACTTTTATTTAATTTGTCGAGCTACCTTCGAAAACAAAGCAAATTATATAAAATATATAGTTTTATTTAATAAATATTGGTTATCCTTTGGTTATCTGACAGGAACTAGGGACTTTGTATTTGATGTGAGGGGCGGCTGAGGAGATAGGGGCCCCCAATCGATCGCGGGGCCCTGGGTACTTGCCCAAAGCGCCCACTGGGAAAGAGGGGTCTGGCCATGCTATAAAAATCCTTCGGTTATAAAACAGCTTATTGCCAATATAAAAACAAATGATGCCCTAGTCCTATATAAATAGTAAGCAAATTTCATAATATCACTCCATCGCTTTATTGATCCCTACCGTGCAAAGCGTTTTCTCATCAGACAGCCACATTCTTACTGCTCGATGCGTGGTATATGTATGAATTTCAAGAACATTGTTATTCACGCGCCATTCACTACCTACCTACACTACCGAAACTTTTAATGAATTTTAAGTTCTTAGAAAGCCTCATGGTTTAAAACCAATTAGTGGAGTGCCTGGGGGTTTATACCACGGATTTTTGTAACAGTGAATATTTTTGAAATGGAATGATGCTATTTATACTATAAATTACAAAGATTATCTTAATTCTTTTTGTGCTTTTAATTTTTTTTAGACCAAAAAATGCAAACTATTAAAATTCGAGCATACGAAGGGAGGTCAATAAGTTCGCGGAATGGAGGGGTTGGTGGAAGTAGGTTTACTCGTCCAGTTAGGCACAAGTTGAGCACCTCATTAAGAGTATATATGCCAAGTTTGAACCTAATCGAGTCATTTCGAAGAAACCAGCTAATCGCGGAAAAGCGCAGACTGCAACATACCTGGCAACGAGACCGCTGCCCAGTAATGAAAACTCGACTCAACGCCCTCACCGAACAAGTAAAGCGCGCCCTCGATGACCATGCTGCACTAAAGTGGGACCGACATCTGTTAGGCGTGGGCGGGGACATGCCCTCAGTGCACCGCCTATGCAAACAGCTATCCGCAACCGCGTCGACACCGCGCCCACTGATAGACGACAACGGACAGCCGCACTACCACGCAAAAGATCGCGCTGAGCTACTAGCTGACCACCTAGAACGACTTTTCATCCCTAACGACACGAAAGACAACGAGCAAGTCGCGACCGTGATGTCGCACGTGATTAGTTGTATGTCGCAGTCGTTACCACCGGACATAGACCCCATAATATTCTCACCCAAACAAGTCCAGAGAGAAATAACGAAAGTAAGGCCAAGAAAGGCCCCTGGACCCGATAACATCAGAAACGCAACCCTCAGAAACCTACCCCCAAAATCGATTGCCGCCATTACCCGCCTCTACAATGGCATATGCCGCACCGGACACTTTCCAACAATTTGGAAAGAGGGTAGGGTGATAATGATCCCGAAACCGGGAAAAAATCACAGTAAGCCGGACAGCTATCGACCGATCACCCTTCTCTCCACCCCATCGAAAGTGTTCGAAAAATTAATTTTACCGAAAATGACTCCATACATCGAACCCCGATCCGAACAATTAGGATTCCGCGCCGGCCACTCAACCACGCTTCAGTTGACCCGTGTACTACACCACCTAGCGACGTGCGTAAACAAGCGTTCAAGCGTGAGTACATTGCAACCGTTTTCCTGGATGTAGAGAAAGCCTTCGACAGAGTCTGGCACGAAGGCCTACTCCACAGACTCTCCCAGACTCCACTACCGCAACGCCTACTACGGCTAGTCGCCTCCTTTCTCGCAAACCGCCGCATCCACGTGACGGTGGAGGGCACGCTCTCGACCTCACGCCCCGCCGGCGCAGGAGTCCCGTAGGGCAGCTGCCTGTCACCGCATCTCTACACAGCGTATACGAACGACGTCCCAACACTAGGTGATGTAAAACTCAAGTTATACGCTGACGATACTGCCCTCTTTTGCTCATCCATACGCCCACGCCATGCCGCCGAAAAATTGCAGCCCACCCTCGACGCGCTCGCACCATGGTTGGTTAAAATGGCGCATCCGAGTAAACGTCGCCAAAACGCAGGCGATGCTCGTCGGATCACAACGCACAAATCCACCCCCGCTCACCATCTTAGGCAGGCCGGTCCCATGGGTACAAACAGCAAAGTACCTTGGTATCACCATAGACCGCCGCCTAAACATGCGACACCACGTAGCAGACACAATAAAAAAAAAACAAAATGGCTCGAGCATGACTGCGCCCCATTTTACGAAGCCGACTCCCACTAAGAACGAAAATCTGCATGTACATTCGCCCCCTAATCACCTACGCAGCGCGCTACGTACGCGCTGGTCGCAGAGTCGCAGCGAAAACGTCTCCGCGCGCAACTAAATCTCTCCCTGCGCGTCATCACCAATGCGGGCCGCTACGTTCGCAACACTACAATCCACAGAGATTTAAAAATTTAAATTTTAGACGACTTCATCTCAAAACTAGCCACATCAATGTACGGTCGAGCGGAGCACTCGGCGCACGAACATATCCGAGAGATTGCTCCAGCGCACGACCGCTCCCGTACAAGAAGAGACAGAGTCCTACCAAGAGAGCTCGTCACAGAAGCAATAACAAACAGATAAGCGGGCCTATACTACATCACGCACCACAGTAATTCACTAACGACTCACTCCAAAGGAAGTAAAAAGAAAAAAAATATAAAACACATAAAAAAACAACTTCCTTTGGACTCAATCTCGAACTCCCAGTAGCCCATATGACTGACCCTGCCCCCTCCCACCACCAAGCCCACCGCCTTCTCGCTGGTCGCTCACCGGGCCTCCCACACGGGTCTCACCCGGGGGGCTTGATCGCGCCGAGGGCGGTGGTGAAACTGTGGAGGGGACAGACGCCAACGACCGCTCCGTTGTAACGGAGCGCGCACCCGCAGCGTCCGAAAAGGATAAATCCTCCAACGGACTCCCCGCACGCCCCGCACGAGACGAGGAAATAGTAATCGGGTCACTAACTTTTGAGTTATCGACCTGCAAACAACTGAATCGGAAAGAAGTCAGCCAGTATGGAGAAAATTGAATACCACGCCGTTATTAAGTTCCTTACCAAGCAAGGAAAATCCGCTCAGATTATTTTTCAAGAGCTGTTGACGGTTTACGTGGATTCTGCCCCTGGTAAAACCATAGTTTACAAGTGGCATGGTCTTTTCAAACAAAGAAGAGAGTCCATTGAAGACGACCCCCGCTCCGGACGGCCAATTGAAGAACCACACCGGAAATCGTCGAAAAAGTAGAAAAACTTGTATTGGAAGATGCCCGGTTGAAGAAGAAGCAGCTTGCAGCAATGATTGGAGTATAAGAAACAAGTATTTTGAATATTCTACATCATCATCTTGGGATGACAAAGGTCAGTGCAAGATGGGTTCCGAGAATGCTCACGCCACTTCAAAAACGCGAGCATGTCGAGTGTTCTCGCCAGTTTTTGGAGCTCTGTGAAAAGAGAAAGGAAGAAGTTATGGCCCGAATCGTTACTGGTGATGAAACCTGGGTTTACCACTATGAACCCGAGTCAAAGCAAGAGTCGATGCAGTGGCATAAAAAAGGCACACCTCCTCCAAAGAAGTTCACAGCGAAAAAAGTTAATCCAATACACCACCTATTATTCAAATAAATGAGGTCGAAGAAGATATGTTATATATATAAAAATTTACAGTTTAAAAATAATTAAATATTTAATTAATAATAGTTTTTTTTGTTTACAATATTAGCAATATACTCCGATTAAAAGGCGCCTATTTTTGCGCCACGGTTAATAGCTGAAAATAGGCAATAACTTAGAGAGATCGTGTTGATGGTAACTAAAAACAATCGATATTTAGAGATGTCTTTTAACATGATAAAGTTCGTGTTTTTCATTTTTCCCAAAGGTTGACTAGGAGAGAATGCTTTTAGCATTAAGTCCGCCTTTTGCACCAATGTTATATAATTTGGTCAATAAAGTTTAATAATAAATAAATAGATAAAGCAATTATTATTACTATTTCATGGGGGGGTCATGTAATTCGCGTCCGTGGGAGACACCTAACCACTACCCCACACGTACCTCCTGGGTGGTGCTAAAGGAATTACAACGCCGGGCCTCGGGCGGCGGTTAAATAACCCGACATAGAAGACCTGATAAGTCCGACTGGAGGATGGTAGGAAATGACCAACCCACCCGCAACCGCATATGCGATCGGGGATCTTGGCTTAATCGCCCGGATTGCGAGAAAGATATTCTCTATAATAAATTCCCTAATTCTATGGTGGGAAACGTGCCTAAAGGATGAATGGCTAGTAGGCAACTAGTCGATAGCGCCAACCGCGACTGACCTGGCAAAAGTCGTGAGTATTTGCCTTCTTGAGGGGATGGGCGTCACCCCTCTTGCGACCTTTTTATTTCGTCCCATACTCGT